TTCAGTCATCCCAATATGGTGATGCGGCTTAGTTAGAGCCATATATGGCATTTGTATCATGGATTTTAAGATGGGAGTAATGTTATCATAAACTTAAACAGAGTATTTATGGAAACGCAATTTACTAACCTCTTCATCATAGCTTTCACAAGTTTTGACTTATCACCTATATTTTGAAATCTTTGTTTCATATAGAAATAAATAATGGAAAAACGTACAACTCCTAATTTACTAGTAAAAATTATATATTGTTAAAACAATTTTTAATATTGAAAAATTTGTCAAATCAGTTTTTAGCAAAACACAACTGCAGAGTTACTACAGTGTTAATAATTGAAACAATAATAAGTGCAGAATCAAACTTATCAAATTCTATTAGGCTGTTCATTTCAGTTAGTACTTCTTCTTCACGCTATTTTATAAGTTTTTTGGATACCTGGGTTTTTATCTCATTTAACACACGATATTGAAAGTCTAAACAAATTTAAGATAGTAAAGTTATAAATAATCTTAACAAAACTTTGTAACTAAGTTAACTAAAAATACATAAATTTAATAATTTAACAACTTTATTAGTCTAACCCTAAATCAGAGAAAATCTTATATATAGTAAAATACTTGATTGTGGCACTGCTAATTTTTCACCATCATTTGCGTAAACGTAATTACTGTATAAGATATTGCCGTGTTGTACGTTTAAAAAGAGGTTTTTTATTACGTTAAAAAAACGTTTTAAAAACTTTCAAAAGCTAATGAGAAGTTCCCTAAGTTTTTTTTTTAAAAAAAAGGCTTAAAAAACGCTAAAAAAACTTATAAATTTTCATTAAAAAAACGTTTACAAAAAAAGTTTTAAAAACAATTGTATAGGTTCTTTGAACGTCCGACCGTAAATTGAAAGAAATTAAAACGTTTTAAAAACGTCCTGTGCTTACTGGGATATTATTGTTTTCGCTTAAGTCATTCGGTTCAGAAGAAGTAGTTTTTTAATTCAAACCATAAAGACCATTACTTAAAAAAGTTTGATATTTGTTATTGTTTAGTTATTTATTTTTTTTCTAAAATCTAAATTAATTTCAAAGTTCTTCAACAACGGTTCACGGTGACAAGACCTGTATGGTCTTCAATGATTATCCGCGTTCTTTATCTTTATTCTTTATTCTCTAACAATTTCTATGCATGTAATTTGTATTATTGATATATTTTAAAATATTGTATTCAATATTGTAATAAAGAACAATTAAAAAAAAAAAAAAAAGTTAAAATCATTAAGCTCATTTAATTTTCAAGCTAAAAAAACAAATTTTTTATTTTGCAGTTTATTCAAATTAGTTTTACTTATTATTTATAGTAGTTAATAATGATATACGTTTCTTTTAATGTATTAATTATCAAATCTTTTTGTATTTATTTGCATTTATTTCTTTGTATACCTAAAATTTCAATACAGTTATTGCAAAGTATTTTTTAATTTGTTAAAATAAGTTTTTCTTGTTATATCTTTAGTTTGTTTTATACAACTTTTATTTAGTTACTTTTATATATTTTGGACTTTTATAACTCTTTTTGAATACTTAATAATATGAAGTGTCAATATTTTATTTTATTAAGGGGCTCTATGAAAGGATTGATACTAATAGTGATATTGTATCACTCATATTTTCTTCAAGTCCGCGTCAGTTTTAAAGTATTTTATTTATTGATATTTACCATGTAAAACTCATCAGTATATTAACACCAAAAAAATTAAAAAAAAAAAAAAAATTTGAAAGTGCTTTTAATTTGCTAAAGTCAAATAAAGTTGGTTCAGATGATGTCAATGGGAATGTTATTATAAACAGTTTTGACGTTTTAAAAGGCATACTTCTCCAAATTTTCAAATGCTCTATTATTCAGGGAGTTTTTCCTAATGATTTAAAAATAGCAAAAATTATTCCTATATTTAAAGAAGGAGAAAAAAATAATGTAAAACATTATTGTCCAATTACTATCCTTTTTATTTTTTCTTAAGTTTTAAAAAGAATTTTGTTCAACAAAATATACTACCACCTTTTATCAAACAAATTATTATATAATACGCAATATAGATTTTAAAAAAATAATTCAAGAGAGCATGCTATTGTTCAGCTTGCAAGAAGTATATCAGATTCATTTAACAATTCTAAATTCACATTAGGAATATTTATTGATTTAGCGAAATCGTTAAATATCATTGAGCAATTCTTGTTAAAAATTTAATGTATTATGGTATAAGAAGTAACGTTTTAAAATGGTTGAAAAGTTGTTTAACTAATCGTAAACAATATGTATACGGCAATGAAACACTTTCATTTAATTTTTTAAACATTACATGTCAAGTTCCTCAAGGATCCATATTAGGACATATTCTTTTTCTTATTTATATTAATGATCTATACAAAGGCTCGAATTTAATAAAAATTATATTTGCTGATGACACTAATTTATTTATGTCACACTAAAGCATTCCTCCTCTGCTTCATTACGTAAACATTGCGTTAATCAAAATATCTTACTGGTTTTAGACGAACAAATTATCTCTTAACATTGATAAAACTAAATGGATACTTTTCCATCCTCTAATCAAAAAACACAAGACGCCAATCAACATGCTAATAATCATCTTGTTATTGACAGTATACAACTTGAACAAGTTACAGAAACCAACTTTCTAGGTGTTTGTATAGATGAAAATCTTACATGCACAAATCACATTAAAAACTTATCAAATTAACTTTAAAAAGGATAGTAATATTGTGCAAAGCAAGAAATATTTTTAATAAACATACTTTAGTACAATTATATCACTTATTTATTCATTGCCACATAAACTATGCAAACATTCCTATCGGGCACCCGACGTCCGACGTTGGATTTACGTTATATTTAATCAGCGACAGACCTATTCCAACGTTGTTCAAATGGCAGCAAAACGATGTTGAGGCGACATCATTACCTCGACATTCCCCAACATTGTTTTGATGTCTTTCAAAGTTGTTTTAACGTCATGTAAAATTCATAAAAATATACATTGTTTTTAAAATATTATTATTTGTTTTAATACTAATATAATATTAAAAATAAATTCTTTTTTAATAAAGTAATAATTCCTAAATAACTATGAATATATCTTACTAAATATCTTTACACAATCTTTTGCCACTGCAGTGTAGTGGTTAGCGCCTAGGATTTATTAGAAATTAATGGGCCAGGGTTCAATTCCTGTCTTAGGAAAAATCTTTTAGTTTACAAAAAACAGGTTGGATTAGCATCAGAATGCCGACGTCGCGCGATGCCAGTTTATCCGAAGTCAAATAACATTTCCATTTCCAACTTAAAACCAATGTCAACCCGACGTCAATATCCGATGTCGCTCCACGTTCGGTCTACGTCAAAATGCCCACTTGGTTGCTTAGGGTAGTACAAATGAAAATAAACTTAAAGGTTTTTATTGTCAGCACAAGTATGTAGCACGTCTTATATATTTTAAAGACCGTAATACTCATGCCAAGCCTTTATTGGTTAAAATGAAAGTTTTTAAATAAATATGAGCCTTATATTTTTAATATTCTTTGTTTTATGTTTAAATGTAAAACCAGTTTATCCCCGAATCCTTCCCATAATTTGTATTCATCAAAAGATATTTGTATTTTAAAAAATTGTAACAATATGCTTATTTGAAATGTAATAGAAGAACAAAAAAAAATTATTTGATATAGAGTTTTTTAAATTTAATCCCAAATAAAAAAGAAGGGAAAAAAAAAAGAAATACTCTTGGCGATATCTCAGGGTCATGTTTTTAAAATGCGGAAAATATTTAAAAACGAGGAAAAATATTTTTTGCTATGCTTTACTGAAAAGATTAAAAATAGATCTATTTCAAAAGAATGTACATAAACTATAATTAAAAAATTGCTTTGAAAAAAGCCTCAAAACTACTTGAAAACGAAGTTAAAGGTTGAACATTAGTTATCTTATTGGATTAACATTTAACAATGGTAAAATACTACATAAAAAAAGTTTAAATTTGTAGCATGATTATATTCTAGTAAATTCAGTGTGCAAAAATTCTAAATTTGCTTTATTACGCGCTCAATCACTGAGAGTTCAACTAAATGCGTAAGAAACTTGCGGTTGCGACATTTAAATTTTAAACTCTGTTGAAGTATGAATGTAAAAAAAAAAATTTACCGAGATTAATAAAAAGGAAGGGAGATGATAAATTAAACGAATTCTCAGATATTCCTATAATTTTTGGTGGAAGGATCTTAATTATAGATTTTAAGTAGAAAATGAAGTATAATTTATTATGGTTTATTCTCCATTGGGTAAATACAATTTATAGGCTTTTTACCGATGCCCGAAAATACAAATTAAATTCACCAAAGTACATTATAATCCCGTTTACCAAGAGTTTTTAAGGTTAAGGAAGAACGAAGTAAATAAGACTGAAAGTCAGAAGTAGATGAGTTAGAAAAATATTATGGAAATGGCGGACAGGCATTGCACTAGATATTAGAATTTCAAAACTGAAATAAGTATAAGGCATAAAACTGTTTCAACATCATCAACGTTTGATTTGGTTTTTTATTTGATCTTGCCGGCTCTTAGTAAAACTCAAAAACAGTCCGGCTTTAGTTATTAACTTTTAAGATAAAGTTAATGTGTAATATTTTATATATACACATATATATTTATCAAAAGATTGAAACTTTTATTTTATCTGACAGTATTTTAGTATTCAATAATTTTAGTATTTCAATTACCATTTGAATTCAATTGAATTTCAATTACCATTTTAGTATTCAATAATTTAGTATTTCAATTACCATTTGAATTTTTTTTTTTTTTTTTATTCAAAAAGATCATTTATGAATAATTTAAATAAAATGTCATAAGTTTAAATACTTTATTTAATATCTTGAAGATTCAAAATATTTCAATAGATTAAAATTTAATACTTTTTTAACAATAAGCGGCGACCACCGTACCTCAATAAATATGGTAGAACCAACCTTTTTACACAGTTTTTAAAAACAGATGACGCGCGTATGTTAGACTTAAACAAGATTGCAATACAATAAAGTAAAAAAATTTGTCATTTTTATGCTTCAACACTTTTTTTTTTTATTTTGAACTCTTTAAAAAATGACGAAGTTTTTGTTTACTTTTAACATCATTTCAAAGTTTATACAATATACGAAAATCGGATGGAATTGTGAAAAAAAAATAGATAAATAAAAAACTTTTTCTTTTTCTTGATATTTTTATTCTGGAGAAATTTGTAACATTTAATTTTTAGATTTTTCGATTTTCATTGACGGATAAGTGTATTAAATGTTTTTTAAAATGCTGAGCATTCAAAAAGAAAGAGT